GATTCAAAGATTCAATTAATCTTACACTGCATGTACCTCGGGTCTCACCCTGGTGGCGGAGACAAGTCACCCCAACTGACTTGGCGGCATATCAGCGTCAGCCTTATCTAATGGCTGTGAACATTCTAAACCAGCACAAGTCTCAGATGTGTCCGGTTTAAGGGTATTACACAGAAACACATCATAGGAACATGAATCAAATATGTATTTTATTCATTTTCAATAAATGTCATAAGTACATCAAACTGATTGGAACTAAGGGTATACAAAACTGTCTAACAATAACATCGCAGATTTTAAAATCCTTTTAATCCTTTGAAATCGTTAAGTTCAATAGGAGACCCTTACCGGTCCAATTGTGGTACCAAAAAGAAATATTTCCTCGGCCCACAATCCATTTGCTATTCATTATAGTCTGATCACCGACTTCATAGATTTCTTTCCATAATTTTGATGAAGATATATGATCTGACATGAGGCTAGGAGGTCTGTCATTCAGATATCTTGAATGAAAGAAATTTGACCAACTATAATCATTTTGGATTAGTTTGAAGCAGGCTTTCATTCAAAAAGCTTTGATGATTTCAAATAAAGACCTGATCCCCAATCCGCCTTCCTCCACGGGTTTGTAGATTCTTTCCCAATTTATCGAGTGGTGCTTTGGCCCATACTCAGAGTCTCCCCATAGAAATTGGGCGAAAATATTGTGAATAATATGAATTATTTTCTTTGGGGGACTTGTTGTACTCAGGAGAACCTGAATGGTCATACTTTGAAGCACACTCCAAATAAGTGTAAGCTTGCCTCCAGGAGTTAGTAATTTTGTTTTTTAGCCTTTTAACCTCTTTCTTATTTTTCCAATGAATGGATCAAAATCCCTTATTCTTAATTTCTTCCTTCCAACTGGGGCTCCTATGTACATAAAAGGGAGTGATTTTTTGAAAAACCTGTCCCTTGGGCAATCATCTCAATTCTTTGCCTCGACATCTTCAGAAGTGATAAAACACGATTTTTGTTTGTTAATTTGTTGTCCCGAAGCTTCTTTATAAACTTTAAGAAATTCCATAAGATTTTTCAGGCTTCTTTTGAGACCTCTTACAAAGACTATCGTGTCATCTATGAACAAACTATGAGAGATTCGGACAGTATCTCTTGGCATTTTAAAAAACTCTATATAACCATTGTGATAAATTTTGTTGAGCCCTCTATTTAAAACTTCTTCAGCAATTATAAACAGGCTAGGAGATAATGGATCACATTGGCGCAAACCTCTTGAAGATTTGAAATAGTCTATTGGGGATCCATTGATCAAGACAGAGAACCAACAGTTACAAACTCCAAGTTTAATTAGATCAATCCAAGAGTCATTGAACCCAAATTTATGAAGAGTTTTGAAAAGGAAATCCCAGTTTAACCTGTCATAAGCTTTAGCCATGTCCAATTTAAGAACTATGTTTCCTCCCATAGAGCGTCTATTAATTTCACTAACCATCTCTTGAACAATGGAAATGTTTTCTCCTATGTATTGGCCTTCTATAAAGGCACCTTGTTTTGGAGAGATGATACGAGGAAGTAGAGGTTTCAGCCTTTTCGATAGCAATTTTGCAAAAATCTTGTAGAAGAAGCCACATAAACTAATTGGTCTAAAGTCTAAGAACTGCTTGGAATTATCAATCTTTGGAATTAAAACAATGAAAGTAGATGTGTAATACCTAGGGAGACATTTAGTGATGAAAATAGATTTGATGGCTTTGCAAACATCATCTCCAACTATGTCCCAGCAATGAGTGAAAAAAAACACCATTGAAACAATCCGTACCTGGAGCTAAATCCACGTTCATTGAGAACACAATGTGCTTGATTTCATCAGAGTTTGGAACTTGTGTCAAGTTATTGTTATCCTTTTTTGTAATTAAATGAGGTATAGACTAGAGCAAGTAGTCGTGATTCAATATTTCCTTATCGGAGAGCAAGTTTTCAAAATAGCTTACTGCTTGTGTTTTTATGAGATTCATGTCATCAGTCATAGTTCCATTAATCTCACGTCTCCTTAAAGCAGATTTGTTCCTCGCAATTTTGATAGAAGTGTGGAAGAAACGAGAATTTTTGTCATCTTCCCGAAGTCAGTTTTCTCTAGATTACTATTTGAGAAAGATTTCTTCTTGTAAAAGAACTTGTTCCAGAGAATTCTTTGCATTGGGCAGATTTTGTTGGTTCTCGTAATTGTTGTTGTTGACGAGAATCATATTTTCAGCTTCAAGAACACCCTTCTCTGCATTTAACACATTTGCAAACACAACTCCAAAAAT